TTCCTCATTCCATTGAAACAATTCATTCGGGTGCTCATGTAAACACCGAAGGTTCCTCACTCCATTGAAACAATTCACTCGGTGCTCGGTGCTCATGTAAACAAAGGGGATCTTAACTCCATTGAATCTAGTCACTTGCTGCTGATACATAAATATACAGTAGATATAGACAAGAGGATCCACACCCCACTGAAACAAATTCCTTCGTTGCTAATATAACACAATAAGATCCACACCCCATTGAAATAATTAATCCCTCGTTGCTGATCTAAACAGAGGGGATCCACACCCCTTTGAAACAAATGACCTCGCTGCTGCAGGTTTCTTTCACAGGTGTTCTTCCCCCGGCAAGATTCATTGAGTATAATTACATGTTTTTTCTGTATATTGTGATGATGATAATATGGAGTCTGAAGTGAGAGAGAGAGAGAGAGAGGGGAGGTCTTATGAGGACTTTGTTATTGTTGTTCCTCAGGTAAAGGTACACGAACAGGTACAATTACAGGTACAAGCAGAGATACAGGTACACACTCACATCTTCAGACAGTTACAGGTACGTACAAGTCACAGGTATACAAACAAACACAGGTATACAAGACACAGGTAACATTCAACTACAGGTACAAGACACACAGGTACTGAACACACTCACACGTACAGGTATGTCCTTGTCCTTGTAACGCACCTGGAATATGTACCTTGGCTTACAGTGTTGCCAGATCTTTGGGTTGGTTAATCAAGGGGTTCCAGCCTCTGTTAATGACTTTCCGCAATTTGGCAACACTTACATTGACGTCATCAAGGGAGGAGGGGGGCTGGGAGTGAGTATTTAATGTTTTACTGTTCACTAATTTGTTCATCTGTTCTGTACATTGGTCACTGGTCCTCATCCACTTTGTTATTATGTTCATTTGTGTTCATTTTTTCCTTTCCACTTTGTTCAATTGTTCTCGTGTTGTTCCTTCTGTTCAGTTGTTCATCTCGTTCACCATTTAATTGTTCATTTGGTCCTTTGTTCACTGGCCTTTGTTCTACCCTATTGGTTGATTTGTTCATTTGTTGACTTGTTCAAATTTATAAGTCACATATGAGTCAGTTATATGAGTTCTGAGTCATATATGTGAGTTTTAAAGCACATACGTTGAAACTCACATATGAAGGAGGGGTCACGTCTGCCTTGTGAGTCAGTTATATGTGAGTTGTGAGTCATGAGTCACCTATATGTGTTATAAGTCACATATCTGAGTCATGAATCACATATGTAGGTCAAATATTTCTACATATGTTACCTGTGCTCCATGTAATCAATTATACAGGTGATTCACGAGTCACATATGTAGATGATTCAGGTAGTCACATAGCGTATAGCTTATGAATCAACACACATATTAGATCAGAAACTTGCAAGAGAGGAGGGGGTGAGGGGGTAATGAAGCACATATGTGAACCATGAGTCACATATGTTTATGAATTACATATGTGGGTCAGACACATATAGTTGCTTGTGACACATATAAAAAACAAGACGATAGTTGCATAGGACACACTTAATGCTTCTCTTTAATTAGAATTATGTGTAGTCATGAGGTACATATCTCTCCGTGAAGATGAGTTTTTAAGCTATAAAATTGGGTGTCTCAAGTGAGCTCAGGCAGTAGGGTCTTGATGCCAGAGAGGGTATGACGTGCGCTCCTTCTCAAGTCTGGAAGGGGGTTGAGATGGAGAGAGAGGGGGAACAGGAAGGGGTGATTAATATCGTGGAGGGGGGATTTAAAGGGATTAATGTCTCTTGACGGAAATTTTGAGCTATCGTCTTCAAGGTTTATATTTCAAGTTCGAGTGTATGGTGATTTATCGTCTTGATCTATGTATGAGTGTGAGTGTGTTACGAGTGTGTTTCAAGTGTGTTACGAGTGTGTTTCAAGTGTGTTACAAGTGTGTGTGTTCCCCATCCCTCCTCCTTAATGGTCGACCTGCCAAATTGTTATCATCATCAATCACAACACACACAACATAACAGGTTCCTAAGAGTCATCTTATGTAGGTTTGTTCGCTTTATGTGATTGAGGTCAACAGGTCAAGGTCATTAGGTCATGTTGAGGTGGGGTCATGTTGAGGAGGTGTGGATGGGTCCTGTCTTGAGGGGTCATGTTAAGAAATGGGTGGGTCATGTTCAGGTTGTAGATCAGTTCAGGTGTAGTCTTCGCCGGGGACGCAGAAGAGCGGAGCAGCAGTAAGAGGTGTGTGGACAGTGAGGTGCTTGGGTGACGGATTATGCCTGGATATCGTCATGCACTAGATCTGTGAACCAATTATCCTGTTACGGCTCGATATCCCCGTTACAGCGTCACATATTTCACCTGATACCCTCGTCACATGAGTCATTTCTCCTGTTACGACTTGATACCTTCGTCACACATAGATCATTTCCTGTAAAGATTCTACCTGTCACACATAGATCATTCTCCAATTGATCCTCGTCACATATGCGCTCAATTCCACATGATCCGATTCTCCGTCACAGTCTCCACCTAACCGAAGGGGAGGGGGATGGGGCGGGATGGTGGATGTGACGGTGGTATTGATCCGACAGCCAATTATTCTGTTACGGCTTTATCTCCGTCACACCTTCCCTCTCACCCCTGACGGAGAGGAAAATGGGACGTGGGTGTGGGGGATGTAGGGGGGTGAGGGAGATGGGGAAGTTAGAGAGATAGAGAGATGAGGGAGGTAGGGAAGGTGAGGGAGGCAAGGAAGGTGAGGGAGGTAGGGAAAGTGAGGGAGGTTAGAGAAGAGGAGGCGGAAGGTGAGAGGTGAAGGGGTGGGGGCAGAAATTAGTATTATCTTCCAGGAGCAACAAGTAGTAAGAGAGAGGGGGAGGGGGGAGAGAGAGAGGGGTCGTGGTCACTTGAGGCGTCACCCAGACCAGCTGAGTGAGAGCGACGTGTGAACCAACCAAGACCCCGGCGAGTTGGGGGAACAGTGGCTCTCCTGTCTTCCCCCTCTCTCCTCTCACATCCTCTCTCCCCACTCTGGACATACACTCACACCGCTGTATATTAAGTCTTAGAGTTATCTCATGGTGGAGAGAGAGGCACTTGTGAGGTAGAGACAGAGAATGACACTACCAGATACATGTGTGTGTGTGTGTGTGTGTGTGTGTGTGTGTGTTGGTGTTGTAGTCCCAGGAGGTACTTGTAAATAAGGGAGTCTCCTGGCGGCGACGCAGCAGGAGGAGGAGAGCCCTGTCGCGGGTACAGGCGGTGGCCCTCCATCACGGGGAGACTATCAGTGTCAGACGCCTCACTCCTGCCTGAAGTGTGAATGAAGGGTGTTGGAGGAGGAGGGAGGAGGGGGAAGGTGGGAGGGGAAGAAAGGGTAGGTGCTGGCGGGGGTCCAGGGAGTCACAGCTCAGGGCAGGAGGGGCGTGAATTCCAGCCAAGGGCCCCAGTCCGACCCTTGCAGCCGCGCCGCTCCCACTGGCTACCTCCTGCTCCTCCGGTCGTCACACCCTCACCCGCCCGCCCGTACCAACCACCACCCCCGGTTCGTCACACCTCTGGTCCCCGTAACACACTTGACCGCCGTACCGTCACACACCACCTGGCGTATCACACCACCCACAGGTGAGGTCGTTAAGTCACGATTTATTGCCAACGATTGACTGGACGACCAGGACACGTCTTGTCCGGGACGCACACACACACACAAACACACACAACAGACGCTTGCACACTGACCCCACACTCACATTGACTCGGCAGTATTGGTACAAGTAAAATCAGTGTCACCGTTACTGAACCAAAGAATGTTGTACCGTCACATGTCGTCCACCGTCACATGTTGTCGTCCACCGTCACTGAACCAAAGAATGTTGTACCGTCACATGTTGTTCACCGTCACCTGTTGTCGTCCACCGTCACTAAAGAATGTTGTACCGTCACATGTTGTTCGCCGTCACCTGTTGTCGTCCACCGTCACTGAACCAAAGAATGTGTGTACCGTCACATGTTGTTCACTGTCACCTGTTGTCGTCCACCGTCACTGAACCAAAGAATGTTGTACTGCCTACGTTGTTCACCGTCACCTGTTGTCGTCCACCGTCACTGAACCAAAGAATGTTGTACCGTCACATGTTGTTCACCGTCACCTGTTGTCGTCCACCGTCACCTACCCACAACACCCTCTACCACCTCAGCCACTACACACCTGCAGTACGTGGGGTTCGAATCTCCTTATAATAATGTCTTAGCCTCGAGTCTTAGGTCTTCTAGTGGTCCAGGAATGGTCTGATAATGGTCTATTGGTGGTCCGGGAGTGTGGTGGTCCGTAATTGATCTTGTTATGGTCCCGCGGTGGTCCTGTAGTCTTTCTAGGGTCTTGGGGTCATTGGCGAGGGGTCACTATGTTAACAGGAGGTGACTGTAGGTTAGGGTGTGGTTTCCAGGTGCCGCAGGATCCTGATGGTTGCCTCTCGTGTTCGAGGATGGAAGAAACTTGCCCAGCATAGTTTCACCTTTGCCCGGATATCGAACCCGGGGCCACTGGATTGCTAGGCGAACATGCTGACCATTACCACAGGTCACGTGTAGTTTCATACAGGGGTTTCATGAGCGAGGTGTACTGGTGTTCCCTCAGTGACTCTCAGGTGCTTGGAAGTGACCAACAGGTGTTCTCCAGGTACCTCGAGATCCCTACAGGTGGCGTCTAGGTCCGTCCAGGTAGCGCCGAGGACTCTAGTTGGCCTCAAGACCCTGAAGCTATTCCTAATCACCACAGACCTCCTCCTCCTCCACTTCACCCTCCTCCTTCACCTCTCACTCTCCTCCTCCTTCAACTCGCCCTATGTCCCCTCACTGACCTTAGGCCAGGGGGTGCCAACACAGTCATGGCACTGGTATACGATGATGCCTTCCCCCCCTAAGATCTGGCTGGTGTGTGTGTGTGTGTGTGTGTGTGTGTGTGTGTGTGTGTGTGTGTGTGTGTGTATTCATCTTTACCTACAACCACACCTGTCTTGACGGACATGGGCGAGGGGTGATCTTGCGGTTGAGGGTGGAGTCTTGCGTGGTTGAGGGTGGACGCTGTGGTTGAGGGTGAGTCCTTGCCGTGGTTGAGGTGGAGTCTTTGCCGTGGTTGAGGGTGGAGTCTTGCCGTGGTTGAGGGTGGAGTCTGGCCGTGGTTGGTGGTGTCTTTGCCGTGGTTGAGGGTGGAGTCTTGCCGTGGTTGAGGGTGGAGTCTTGGCCGTGGTTGAGGTGGAGTCTTTGCCGTGGTTGAGGGTGAGTCTTGCCGTGCTGAGGGTGGAGTCTTGCCGTGGTTGAGGGTGGAGTCTTGGCCGTGGTTGAGGGTGGAGTCTTGGCCGGCTGAGGTGGAGTCTTGCCGTGGTGAGGGTGGAGTCTTTGGCCGTGGTTGAGGGTGGAGTCTTGCCGGTTGAGGGTGAGTCTTTGCGTGGTTGAGGGTGGAGTCTCGTGGTTGAGGGTGGAGTCTTGGCCGTGGTTGAGGGTGAGTCTTGGCCGTGGTTGAGGTGGAGTCTTGGCCGTGGTTGAGGGTGGAGTCTTTGCCGTGGTTGAGGTGGAGTCTTGCCGTGGTTGAGGGTGGAGTCTGGCCGTTGGTGGTGGAGTCTTGGCCGTGGTTGAGGGTGGAGTCTTGGCCGTGGTTGAGGGTGGAGTCTTTGCGTGGTTGAGGGTAGTCTTGCTGCTGAGGGTGTGAGTCTTTGCTGTGGTTGAGGGTGAGTCTTGTGTGGTTGAGGGTGAGTCTGCCGTGGTTGAGGGTGAGTCTTTGCCGTGGTTGAGGGTGGAGTCTTGCCGTGGTTGAGGGTGGTCTTGCCGTGGTTGAGGGGTGAGTCTTGCCGTGGTTGAGGAGTCTTTGCCGTGGTTGAGGGGTGAGTCTGGCTGGTTGAGGGTGGAGTCTGGCCGTGGTTGAGGGTGGAGTCTTGGCCGTGGTTGAGGGTGAGTCTTTGCGTGGTTGGTGGAGTCTTTGTGTGGCTGAGGTGGACTCTGTGCAGGGTGGTGTCTTTGCCGGTTGAGGGTGAGTCTTGCCGTGGTTGAGGGTGAGTCTGGCCGGTGTGCCTGTGGTTGAGGGTGGAGTCTTGCTGTGGTGAGGGTGGAGTCTTGGCCGTGGTTGAGGGTGGAGTCTTTGCCGTGGTTGAGGTGAGTCTTTGCCGTGGTTGATTGTCGAAGGAGGTTGGGAGGAAATCATCCAAGACCTAACTGGGTGGTTGATGTAGACTTGAGACTTGGTGGTTGGACAACAAGACCACAGGGAGAGAGAGAGAGAGAGAGAGAGAGAGAGGGAGAGAGAGACCCAACGACCACAAAGACCCCTTACACACACCCCTTAAAGACGACCTAACACCAAACCACTAACAACTAAAGACCACGACCTTAAAAAAAGACTTCAAAGACCAAACCCACAATCTAAGACCACATAACCCATACCTTCCCTTTCCCTTTTTTCCCACCTCCCTCACCCCCACCTCAACTCTCACCCATCACCACCCTCTCACCCCTGACCACATCAAAGACCCCTCAAAATATACTTACTTGACATGTTCATTATTTTAAGGTGGTTAAACTAAATAAATCATCATTACCATCAAGACAAGACCACATTATTCTGACGTGAATTATCTCCTTAGTCTTTTCTCCTTTTCTTCCTTTCTTCTTTCTTTCTTCTTCTTCTTCTTTCTTCTTTTTCTTTTCTTCATGTTTCCCGTTCCTCTTCCATCTCCTCTTCGTTTTCATCTTCGTCTTCTTCTTCTTCCTTCGTTCTTCATCTCTATCTCTCTGTCCTTCCTGTTCCATTTCTTCCTACCTTATTTTTTCATCTCCTCCTCTTCCTGTTCCTCCTCCTCCTCCTCCTCCTTCATTCTTAACATTTCCTGCTTGTTCCTACAGCTTCTACCGAGACAGTTAGTTATGAGAGCACAAGAAGACATAGTTATAGGTGTTGACTCATGGTCGTTAGAGGTCAATGTAGGAGGGTCGTTAGAGGTTCACTGTGTTGGAGGGTCGTTAGAGGTCACGGAGTAGGAGGAAATATAAACGCTAATATATGTTTGAGTTTGTTGATTTAAGGCTATTTATCGCGGTGGGAGGAGATGAGAGGGGTCGGGAGTGGAGAGGGAGTGGGGTGGGTGGAGGAAGTGGGGTGAGAGGGTGGGGTGGAGAGGGGTGGAGGAGGGGTGAAGGGGTGAGAGGGTGGAGTGGAGAGGTGAGGAGGTCGAGGATGAGTGGGAGGTGAGGAGAGGTGAGAAGGAGAAGGGAAGTATGATGATTCATGTGTGTGTGTGTGTGTGTGTGTGTGTGTGTGTGTGTGTGTGTGTGTCCTCCCTACCACCGTCCACCACAACATAATTATAGTTCACACCTTTTGCGCTTATCTCCTATCTCTCTCACCTGAGTAATTAACCTGTATTCTCCTAGTTCATCGTCACCCCTTGAGAGAGAGTCCTTATGGTTCATCGTCACCCTTGAGAGAGCCCTTATGGTTCATCGTCACCCCTTGAGAGAGAGCCCTTATGGTCCATCGTCACCCCTGAGAGAGAGCCCTTTAGTCCATCGTCACCCCTGAGAGAGAGCCCTTATGGTTCATCGTCACCCCTTGAGAGAGAGCTCTGGTTCATCGTCACCCTGAGAGAGGCTTATGGTTCATCGTCACCCCTGAGAGAGCCTTTTGGTCCATCGTCACCCTGAGAGAGAGCCCTTAGGTCCATCGTCACCCCGAGACAGAGAGAGACCTTATGGTTCATCGTCACTCCTGAGAGAGAGAGTCTTGGTTCATCGTCACCCCTGAGAGATACTTATGGTTCATCGTCACCTGAGAGAGAAGCCCTTATGGTTCATCGTCACCCTGAGAGAGCCCTTATGGTCCATCGTCACCCTGAGAGAGAGAGAGAGCCTTATGGTTCATCGTCACCCCTGAGAGAGAGAGAGTTCTGGTTCATCGTCACCCCTGAGAGAGAGAGCCCTAATGGTTCATCGTCACCCCTGAGAGCCTGGTTTCATCGTCACCCTGAGAGAGAGAGAGAGCCCTGATCATCGTCACCCCTGAGAGAGAGAGCCCTTATGGTTCATCGTCACCTCTAGAGAGAGCCCTTATGGTCCATCACTCCTGAGAGAGAGCCCTTATGGTTCATCGTCACCCTGAGAGAGAGAAGCCCATGGTTCATCGCTCCCCTGAGAGAGACTTGTTCATCGTCACCCCTGAGAGAGAGAGCCCTTATGGTTCATCGTCACCCCTGAGAGAGCCCTTAGGTTCATCGGGAGAGGCTTTGATCGTCACCCTGAGAGAGAGAGAGCCCTTATGGTTCATCGTCACCCCTGAGAGAGCCCTTATGGTTCATCGTCACCTGAGAGAGAGAGAGAGCCCTTATGGTTCATCGTCACCCTGAGAGAGAGAGAGAGAGCCCAGACTCATCGTCACCCCTGAGAGAGAGAGAGCCCAGGTTCATCGTCACCCCTGGAGAGAGCCTTATGGTTCATCGTCACCCTGAGAGAGAGGGAGAGAGCCCTTATGATTCATCGTCACCCCTGAGAGACCCTTATGGTTCATCGTCACCCCTGAGAGAGAGAGAGGCCCTTATGGTTCATCGTCACCCCTGAGAGAGAGTCCTTATGGTTCATCGTCACCCTGAGAGAGAGAGTCTTATATTGTCACCCTGGAGAGAGCCCTTATGGTTCATCGCACCCTGAGAGAGTCCTATTCATCGTCACCCCTGAGAGAGAGAGCCCTTATATTCATCGTCACCCTGAGAGAGAGGCCTTATGGTTCATCGTCACCCCAGAGAGAGAGAGAGTCCTTATGGTTCATCGTCACCCCTGAGAAGAGAGCCCTTATGGTTCATCGTCACCCCTGAGAGAGAAGAAGCCCTTATGGTTCATCGTCACCCCTGGAGAGAAGAGAGAGCCCTTATGATTCATCGTCACCCCTGAGAGAGAAGCCCTATGATTCATCGTCACCCCTGAGAGAGAGCCCTTATGGTTCATCGTCACCCTGAGAAGAACCCTTATGGTTCATCGTCACCCCTGAGAAAGAGCCTATGGTTCATCGTCACCCCTGAAGAGAAGCCCTTATGATTCATCGTCACCCCTGAGAGAGAGAGACCCTTATGATTCATCGTCACCCCTGAAGAGGCCTTATATCATCGTCACTAGAGAGAGAGAGAGGTATGTAAGGCCTCTCTCTCTCTCTCTCACCTGGACCCTTCGCCCCCGTTGACAATTGCCCTCCTTTCTCTTCTCCTCCCTCCTCCCCCCATCTACATCCTCCTTCTCCCCCTCCTCCTCTTCTCCTCCTCCATCTCATTTACATGTGTGTTTATTCTCAGTAAATAAATGACGTAAGTTTACTTGGTCTTCATTACAACCAAGAAATAAAATCTACATAATTTTTATTTTATTTTATTTTTTTTTTGTGGGGGGGGGGCACTGACGTCACGCTGTAAAGACGTCACGCATTCATGACGTCACGTATTCATGACGCTGCGCACTCATGACGTCATCGAAGCCCAGATGCAACCCTCAGTGGTAGAGAGAGAGAGAGAGAGAGAGAGAGAGAGAGAGAGAGAGAGAGCAATCACCCCCTTCACACTCGTTTCAACAGCTCGTAAAAATCATCACTTGGCACCCTAGCTATTGTCTCCATGGCAACGCCCCGCCCACCATGTAAACAATGGCGGCTGGCAGAGCATTATTACCATTTCTAACTAATGGCGCTAATTGTGTCCCTAAGATATCACACACCCGCTTTAATGTCTGTTTATCATTGCTTTCTATCTCTGTTTTTGTTTGTTATCTCTCTTGTGTGTTTGTTTGTCTCTCACCTCTTCTGTCTGTTTCTGTTCCTGTCTTGTTTTTTACCTGTCAACTCTTTGTGTCTCACCTGGGGGTAATATTGTATAGAGCTGTTTTATCTCTCTCTCTCTCTCTCTCTCTCTCTCTCTCTCTCTCTCTCTCAGACTAATGAACGACAGGTGTTTGATTCATTAATACTCGCCAAGGTAACAGGTGGGTAGGGGGTCGTGTTGGTGAGGGTGTTGGTGATGGTATGGGTGGTGTTGGTGAGGGTGTTGGTGAGACGGTGTTGGTGAAGGTGTTGGGGATGGTGTTGGTGGTGTTGGTGATGGTGTTGGGGGTGGTGCAGGAGCCGGTAATGACGGTGGAGTAACACGACACCTGCAGCTCCTGAGGAAGGCGATGACGGAGACGTGTCGTAATAAGTTGATGTTTAGGGGGGGGTGGTGCTTCCTCAGCCAGCCAGTTACACAGCTAGTTACACAGCCCGTCAGCCAGTCAAATACACAGCCAGCCATCCAGTCAGTCAGCCAGTCAGCCAGTCAGCCAGTCAGCCACTCAAGCCACACCTTTTTGATGTCCCTGTACTCATGTTTAGAAGTGGCTCCCCCTACCCTCATACCCCCTACCTCCTATCTACCCCTATCTGCCTTCCCTATCCCCTATCTTTTCTTACCTACCTCCCCTACCCCACTATCTTCCCCCTACCTACTTATCCCTACCTATTCTTCCTCCCCCCTACTTAACTACCTCCCCTTAACTACCTTCCCCTAATACTCCCTATCCTTTACCTACATATCTCCCTACCTATCTACCTAACCTAACCCCCCGCCTTCCTTTGGACCTCCTTATCCCTATCTGCTTGCCTCTCTCCTCCTCCCCTCCCCCCTCCCTCCTCCCCTCTCTCTCCTCCCTGTTACGTCACCCCCATCCGCGTATCTCCCCCCTCCCCCCTCTCCTCCTCCCCTCCCCTCTCTCCTCCTCCCCTCCCCTCTCTCCCCTCCCTCCCCTCTCTCCCCCCCCTCAAGTTACGTCACCCCATCCGCCTATCCCCCCTCCCCCTTTCCTATTAACCTCTTCTTCTTTCCTCTCCCTCACTCTTGTTTCACCCTCTTTCTCTCTCCTACCCTCACTTATCATGGAGCTAGTGGATGAGAGAAAGAGAGAGAAGAGAGAGAGAGAGAGAGTACTGTGTATGAGGTAACGTGTAGGCGTGTGTATGTGCATTTACACACACACACACACACACAGATCTCAGTCCCGTCCACTCGGGTAAATATTTACTTGGAGTGACCACGTGTTCCCCCTAATGTAAACAAACCGTGGGAACAACACGTCTCCATGTATGTGGCTGGCTGTTGTGTGCATGTAACATTGTGACGTCACTTCCGTTTTCTTACAGTAAATTCATTCATATCGAGTACAATCACCATTCATGTAGTGAGATGAATCATTCATTCATAACCTCAGTACTATAATTCATTCATAAAAATAACGAGAGATGCTATTGGTTAGAATTACTATGACTCCGCCCATTCATAAAAAATCGGATGATGTCATTGGTTAGAATTACTATGACTCCGCCCATTCATAAAAATCTCGGATGCTGTCATTGGTTGAGCTTACTACTGTTGTCCTTGTTCTTGCTTTTCTTGTTTTTGTTCTTGTTCTTCTTGTTCTTCTTGTTCTTCCTCCTTCCCTCCTTCCTTCCCTCCTCCTCCTCCTTCACACCTAGAAGGGCACAGCCATATAGGA